TCACAGAAAATCTCTTTTGGAAATTCTTTACCATTATGGGATTATTATGGGACCACGTATGCACATTTCGTAAATTATTTACACCGTCCCGGGTAAAAGACGCTTCATCACTGAATAAAATGACGCTTAACAGTTCGGGATGAGCTTTTATCCAGTGGCACAAATCCATACGCTGAGCATGGTCACTTGGTTAGTGGCCTCCGTAGTCTAGGGGTAATGTTCCCACCTCATGACTCAAGTTACGCGGGTTAAAACCCGGCGGAGGTCGTGGAATTTTTAAGGGCGGAAAAATTCAGGGAACAAGTCCTCCGGGAGGGACTTTAAGCCGTGGGTCCCATGTCGTAGATTTACGGCACGTAAAAGATTCTCATGTCTCTAGGAGACCTCTGAGCAAAATTATTAGGCAAAAACTTTCCCGCCCAAGTAGTTTCCAATGCCTCTGGTAGATGGGGGAAGTATCGGGTACTGAGGGCCGACTTTGTTGGCTGAACAGGGCTGATAGCACTCACCAGTACCAGTAGGGTATGGGGACAGTAGAAATTAAAGGGGGATGCACAGTGGACCAATAACTGGTCTAAGTGCAAGGGGAAACCACCCCCTCTAATTCAATTCAATTCAATTCTTTATTATTTATGTGCCAAGTCAACAGCCGCAAGGCCAGTTACAGACTTAGCACAGTGTAGATGAAAGTAATTACGTGTAACATTATACAAACATTAGACAAACACATTATCAGTCAAAAATNACAGACATTGAACATATGAAAATCTCGGATATATAGAACAGGGACCCGAAGGCCAACAGTTTCCAAAGCAGAAGGGCAAAGTACAGAACCACGATAAACTTGAATAAGGAAGAGCGCATCAAGATGATATCTCCTCTTATGCAAGGTGTGCAATTTTAATAATAATAATAATAATAATAATGGTCGCCTGGTTCCAGATGTTGTACCCTTTGATCATGGTAAGGATAAAACTCTTCATCATGTAAAGTTCGTCACACCTGCATACGTGATATGCCGATGTGAGAGGCCATTCTACGAGTGGACAGATGCGTACTTCTCTGAACCATCTCAAGAATGTTCTCTTGTGTTTTTCTAATTCGTACATCCTCCCTTTCAGAGTGCACAGAAACACTCGGAAGAGAACCAGTATCACGCAATGTCTGGTGAATTTGCGTAAATACACTTCAAGATGGAATCCTTCAATCGGGAAAACGCCTTTGGTATTCTTTAACAGCAGCACGTGCATTGCCACTGCAAAATCCATAAACAAAATGCATATCACGATATTCCACGTGTGAAAATACAAAAGGCATTTCAGCAACTCCGCACAACTAATTTACCAACCATTCACAATGCGGCCGCAACATACCCTGAAGGTAGCACATAAACTTAGGATAGTGTGAATCACCACACTCAAGGACAAACATAGATAAGACTTGTCAGCTGACAGGTACAGTGTGAGGACCCACCAGAAGACCACACTTTTGTTGGGCCATTATCTCCGTAACCGTTCAACTTCGGACATAGGTGTTTTGGGTTATATCGGCATACTTTAACATAAGGAACACCCTCCTGAAGTCTGGCACATTCCTCCTGGGACACTCTGTATATGTGATATTACTTTTATATTAGAGACATGTAAATTTTAGTATAGTGGGAATGTATACAGTTTAAAGATATGCTCTGAAGTGAATCAAATATGTAATTATTCATTTATATTTGTAAGATTTGAAGTTTTCATGGCAATGACTATGAAGAGAGCAGTCTTCTGGGATGTGGCACTGTGTAGATATTGTGTTAACCGACGTTTTGGAGGAATGTATCACCTCCATCTTCAGGGTAGAAGAAAAAAGAAGAAAATCCATGAGCGAGGATCCAGCATAGACAGGCGCTAGCAGCACCTCTCATGCTGATTCCTCACTCATGGATTTTCTTCTTTTCTCTTCTACCTACACCTATCTACATGGCACCACATCCCAGAAGACTGATCTCTTCATTTATATATGTATGTTATTGCACTTGAGTATGGGCTGTCTGAGTCTGAGATCTTGTCTGGTTGCAGATATGTCCACATAGGTCCAAAGTTGTGCAGTCTTTTGGTGAGGCCTGAGGAGATAGATGAGGTGGATGGAGTGAGTTCAGACAGCTGTCAGTATGCGAGTCTGCAGGAGCTGTGGCATCACTTGTCACTGCCACCAAACATCACACTTATGCTTTGTAGCAACAGAATTCAACAGCACAGAGTTCAGTTCTTCCCTTCCAATGTGTTGTTTGTGCAGTATGGTTTTCAGGTGTGTGTACTGGGGTTGTATACTACTAGTTCCCCAGCTCTGGTTTACACAGACACCAATAATTTTCACCACCATCTACTGATGTCACAATCAGGGAGGGTCATCTTGTGACTCTTCTCTGTCATAAGCTCACAACTTATAGGCCTATCTGTATTATTGCTTGCCCTGTTCTATTTTTATATCTTCCCTTACTCGTTATCCCTTGTGATGATGTGATAATTTTTATGCTCTCAAATGAATTCTGTTGTTATCCATGCATAATGCCTGTCCATTACTTACGTAATCTGTTCCTCTTATACCTTTTAGTTAGTTAGTTAGTTATTGGAGAGGGTGGGTTTTCCCCATGCACTTAGACCAGTATTGGTCCATTGTGCTTCCCTCTATGATATTCTACCAGTCTCTATACGCTACCGATACTGGTGTGTACCATCAGTCCCGACCAAGCCAGGGAGTTCAGCCTCTACTGGCTTAGCGGTATCTTTAATGCTTCCCCCGTCTATCAGAGGCGTTAGAGACTACTGTTGGGCGGGAAATGTCCTGAATTTTGCTCAGTGGCCTTCTTTGGAGACATGAGGTACTTTTACGTGCTGTAAAGCTACGACACGGGACCCATGGCTTAAAGTCCCTCCCGGAGGACTTGTTCCCTGAATTTTTCAGCCCTTAAAAATTCCACGACCTCTGCCAGGTTTGAACCCGCGTACCTTGAGTCACGAGGTGGGAACGTTACCCCTAGACCACGGAGGCCAATCTCTTATACCTTACAGTGTGGAGGTATTTTTTTTTCTTTTTTCATTTTGATCATTTTACAGATAGTATGACTTCTTGGATAAGTGATTAGCCCATTGCAAGACCTCTGCCTAAACACAGGACAACCCAAACAAAGAATAAACACATACACATACCAAACATCCATGTTTTTTGTAGGATTCGAACCCACAATCCTGGCTTCTGAGTGAGCAAAAACAGTACTTACCTTAGGCCGCTCAGCTACTGTGACTGGCACCTGTCCATACCACTGTCTACTTAATATCAACTTCACTTATTCTTGTTCTGCCTTTAGATCATGCTTAATGTCTTCCTGTTTCACATATTATTCCCTCTTTTATGTTTCTTAATACTCCAAAGAGACTTCATCTCTACTGGTGGTAGTGTCTTACATCCTTTTTGGATAATGTCCACATATCTGCTGCATATATCAGAGCAGATAAGGACACTGAAACCCCCATTTAAGGTTTCTTATGAAGAGATTGGTTTTGAAAATGAAACTGAGGAATTTCTTAAATGGTGGTAGTTTAGCTCTGAGATTATTAACTTGGCAGCATTGAAATTGAACATTAAATGAACTTTAAATCAAGGAACAATAAATAGGGGTTCCACTTTAATGTGTTTAATATAGCAAAACTATTTTTTTTTCTGATATTTATGAACTTTGAATTATATATCTAACATTTCAGAATTTCTGGACTCTGTTAGATCTGTACATTGTATTCTCATGATTTTTCCAGCAATTTTTCATGTTGAAAATTTCATAACTGACTAACTTCATAGTCTTCCTAGAGGATCTGTGAGTTACATAGCTGCTAAAAAAGGTTCCTGCTGTTATGAACTCCTAATTTTCTTCACTTGTCACAAAACCCACTCCTGGACCATATACTGAGCCAGTGGAATCTGGTTTACACCTTCACATACAGTATCCCTAAGATCCATTTTAATATTATATTTTCATGCATGTCTAGGTCTCCCTGTTCATTTCTTTTCAGTATGGGCCATATATAGGAACTGTATCATCTCTTCAGAGACTTATAATGGTTACTTGAATTACTTCATTTTATATATTTTTCAGGCTTGTTTATTCTTAGGCATGTAACTATGCGTACTTGGTGATTGAAATGTATTGGTGAGTTAGCCTGGAATTTGGCTGAGGAGTTTAGATTATCCCAACCCGTCCAGGTTAACTAAGAGCAATGGAAGTGGCCGAGAGATGTGAGAGCACAGGTTTGTCTCGCATTTGTGATGGCACTTGCACAGTTTTGGGGCTAGTTGTTTTCCTCCATTCATGTAGTCTGGGAAGGAAGATGCATCATTTTATAGTAACCCATACAGCTGTGGGCATAAATTACACCAACTGGCCAAGGAAATAAAACTTAAAAGGAATTATCCTTTTTGTTGTAGTATCCGTCAATAATACAACAATATAAAAGACATTAAGAATGTCATTCACTTAAAAGTGTATTTTGATACTATGGTTATTAAAATCATTAAAATGTCCATAGGACACTATAGGTATACAACTTTATGCATTGAAAGTGATTTTGGAATTCTTTAGACTTTCCTAATTTTACATGTATTTTCTTAGATTTTTAGTTTTTCACTACATGTTTTGGCCTATTCATAATATCGAAATACATTTTAAGTGAATGACATATTCTTAATGTCTTTTGTAATGTTATATTATTGACAGATACTCTAGTAAAAAGGATGATACCTCAATACAACGGGATGCTATAATATGATATTAGAAGGAATTAAGTTTAAATTGAATATACAGTGAAATTCCCATTTAAGTTTTGCCTCTGGAACACAATTTCTTTACCTTAAATTGAGAAGACTCTTAAATCTGCTTTAATTTAACAAAAGGTGGGCAAATATATGGTACATAAGTATAAAAAATGACAAGAAATGTGGTATGATGTGCTGCCTTATTTTTCATACTGAAATTGAAGACACCCCTTCATTGTTTAAGTCTGAAATTGCTGAAACAAGCCTAATATTTCATTAGGATAAATATGATGCCAAATGGAGGTACAGATTTCATATAGAGAACTGATTTTTGTTCACTAAATAGGGGTAAAAACTAAAATGATAAGTGCTAAATCTGGGAAAATTATGCAGTACTTATTCTGGACTAGAACAAATGAAGCATGAATACAGAATGGGGAATCTCTTAGCATGAGAAACCTTAAATCAGGATTCTGCTGTATGCACTGTCATTTTATCTTTATGGATCAGATAACTTATGCGCTGTCATTTTATCTTTATGGATTAGCTAACTTAATGTCTGTCCCAGGTTTATAATTTTCTCTTCTGAGTCTCATTGTTCTTCCTTTTATTAATTGTTCTATAGATTCTATGTTATTGATTCATTCTGTGTACAGAGTTTTTTCATATACAGAGCTGTGTCGTCGTCTTCCTCCTCCACTCCCCCTCTTCTCCTTTGTCTCCTGACTCTCACAAATGTGCATTCTGCATCTGAAAGGGTTCAGATACTCTGAAATCTGCCCATAGAGTGTATTTGCAGATGTTGTTTGATTGTCAGTGTAAATGGTGATTATTTCCATAAATATTTGTTAGTTGGTCTTTGTAATGGAGATGATGTTTGTTCTCATTGAGGTAGAAACAGTTTATAAATATTATTCAGATGACCTTCATGCTTCTAATGGATACAGTCTACTGTGTTGTAATTTGCACTACAGAACATAGGAAACCTTTAACAAAATAATGTTTTAGGAAGAAGCATTGAATGATGTCAGATAAATCACATATTAAGATTAAGGATGCTCATTCTGAGAAGTTGGCTATGTAACAGACACAAAGAAGCATGTACAGTATTAAGGCTGGTTTATATATATATATATACACACACAAAAACACAATTTCATGTGGTGGAGTGAGACTGAGTGCACTTGATACATCAGCCACTAATTGGCCCCAGATGATAGATGAGCACAGAGCATTTGGTGGAATGAGAAATGGCAGGGGAAGATAAAGTATTTTGAGGAAGCTGCCCCAGTGCCACTTTGTCCACCACATATCCCACATGACTTGACTTGGGATTGAACCTGGGCCACCACTGTGGGAAACCAGCAACTAACCATCTCAGCAATGGCATTGCCTAAAATATTAAGGTAGCAATAATTTAACAAGCAATCAGCAGCAAAGACCAGGGAAGTGACAAAAAGGTCTGGACAAAATCTCACAGCTTGACTGTACTATGTGAATGTTCAAATGTGTAGTAACTTGTGAATTTAAAATTTCTTGGCATATATTCACTCATGCAGCTGTACACTAGTTGTGAAACACTGCTCATTTAATTAATTGTTATGTTGCTGTTGGGCTGCTGTAATGGTTGAAATGGTGTGTAATGAATAATATGCTTTATTTAAAGGCAGACTATGACTTCCTTGAATGGACACAGGACTTCCACCAACAAGGAACAATGACTTGTCTTTGTCCTGGTACTGCCAGCTGGAACAGGTCAGTTAGCACTGAACAGTAGCATTGTTTAATGTATGAATGAATGAATGAATGTAAGAACTAAAGCAACAATGTCTGAATTATTCCTTCCATCTACATACTATTTACTGAACTGTTTCTTGTCTTTGCATTATGAATATAACTCATTGTGAAGAATATGGCTAGATATAACATGTCTCTGGTTAATAGCGATAACTTTACAGTTTATGTTTCGTAAAATATGAGAACAGTGTTGGCATCTCTTCCACTCCCTTCAGTTCATCACAGTGCCTGTGTATCTGTAAACAGGCTACAGGAGAACTTTTGTTAGTCCTTCTTGTATGTGTTTTGTGTGTATGTATATATTTATTCCATTTACAAAGTCTTCTGTTTTGTCCTGTTTTAGGCCAAAATTAAATTTCATTCGTAAATGTTTGGGGACATTCTTGGTTGTACAAATTCTGATCAGCTATGCCACACCTACCTTCTCCTTGGCACATTGCCTCATGTCCTTGAAATGGTTGTTCTACTCCTATCATGTTTAATGTTTTGGCATTGTTGACTATTATAGGGCTGTCCAATTTGATGTAACCGATATTATGTTATGTCACTTTAAAGCATCAGACTTCGATAACTGCCTTCTGGGATTATTTTTCTAGCATTTAGGGACCTTGATGATAGGTCCCTATACAGTGTGATATTATTATCACTCTTTAATGTGCTATTGCTGAGGAAACAAATCTAACCTTGTTTTGTTGTGGGAGATTTATAATTTGCTTTCTGTTTCTTTTATCATGTGCAAAGCTCTGTGGAAACTGACACACTTCTAACTTGTGTGCACACGAACACACATACATGTACACCCATGAAATGTTTATAACTGACAACACTGCTGGGTGGATTGACACAGTATCCCTCAGGAGTGTCTGTGTTCTGTGCTACTGTGTTACTGCTTAAACACTCTGTTATTGCTCGTTTTCAGCCTGGCTGGTTGTCCAGAAGCCTCCATCTGTAACATATACCATGCAGTTCAGGCAGTTGGGGAGCAAGGGTCTTTAGGGGTGATAGTTGCTCACTGGTCCGGATCATATCACCTCACTCCACATCCATTCAGCTGGCCTGGCTTTGTGGTGGGCAGTGGTCTATCTTGGAACCCAGAAACTCATTTGGTAAGTGTGATTGAAATGTAACTCATATGATACTAGCCAGACTCCTTTAAAACTCACTTGAAGTTCACTTCCAGTGAAGTGGATTATTATAGCAATACAAAAATCGTAACTGTCAAACATATGAGCAAGATTAAGCATGTGATGGTAACACATAAAATGTAACTAACACTGTGATAGCAGAATCAGGAGATTAAACACCACTAATACCACATGAATGAGGTCTGTTCACCTCCTTTGCTCACACCCTATCTCCCTAACACCTGTCTTAATGTAATCCTGTCATCTGCTTTATGATTTTAATGGTCACTCTCCTAGAGATATCCGAACAAAGATTCTGTAGGCATTTCTTATATGCCTGATGTGAACCACAGGTTCAGCCCATTGTGAACTTCTTGATTTCATTACTCAAATAATACCATAGAGAAGTCATGAAGTTCTTGATTGTATAATATCCAGAATTTTCCACTTCATTCTTATTGCCTTATGTATTCAAATTATATATTTCTTAATTAAAAATTCTTGTCTGAAATTGCGTGTAAAATACAGAGACACTACTTTTCAGAGTATGATTTTACATGTTAACCTTTAACGTATGGACTTTTAAATTGCCAGCAGCCCTCTGCAGCTGGTATTTAAATCACCCTAATTAATTAACATTGCAAACTTTCAGAAAAAATCCATATTTTCCGTTCTATGCAACACAGAAATATGGACTAAAAACAACCTAAAAGACGATGAAATTTTCTGCATATACACAAAAGAGCAATTTTTACAAACGGAAATTAACTGTGATTATTTTGTCATGAATTACAAAATATAATCTTTATTATATGTGGTGCAATCCAAAAATTCCCGAAATATATTAATAAAAACTATTACATCTACGTAGAACTTATTCTGCACCATCACCTTCAAAGTAGTCCCCTTGGGAGCGCATACACCCATCCCAGCGTTTCTGCCACTTTTCAAATGCATCCTGGAAGTCTTTCTTTGTTAGGGTGTTTAGTACCATCTGCGTTTCCGCTTGAATTTCCTCAACTGTATCAAATCTTCACCCCTTCAACTTGATTTTCATCTTGGGGAAGAGAAAGAAGTCACATGGAGCTAAGTCTGGCGAGTACGGTGGGTGGGGAACAACTGCCATCTTGTTTTAGCCAAAAACTCCTGCACAGTGTAAGCCATATGCTGTCGTGCGTTGTCATGGTGGAGTACCCAGTCGTTCGTGCGCCACTTCTCTGGACGTTTTCTCCTCATATCCTCCCTCAGACGCCTTAGAACATCGTGATAGAACTCTTTATTGACTGTCTGACCAGGAGGGACGAACTCCTTATGAACAATCCCGTAAATATCAAAAAAACAGATCAACATGAACTTAATGGTGCTCTTGACTTGTTGAGCTTTTTTTGGCTGAAGTGAAGAAGGGCTCTTCCATTGTGATGATTGCTGCTTGCTTTCAGGGTCATAGCCATAATCCCAACTTTCATCACCACTTACAACCTTCGAAAGAAAGTTTGGATCCTCTTGAAGCTGTTGCTGAAGTTCCCTGCAGACTTCAAGCGATGCTGCTTCTGTTCATTTTGCAGCAGTCATGGCACAAACTTCGCCGCAGTCCTCCTTATGTTCAGTTCCTCTGTCAAAATTTGTTGACATGTACCAAAACTTAGTCGCAAGGTGTTACAGAGGTCTTGGATGGTCAGTCTACGATCTTGCAGAATCAGATCCCTAACTTTCGTAACATTTTCTGGTGTTTTGCCCATTGACAGCCGTCCTGAACGATCATCATCATCAGTCAATGTTTGGCCATTTTTAAAACGCTTATACCAGTTGTAAGTTTGTGTCTGGCCTAAACTGTTTTCACCAAAAGCTTGCTTCAACATTTGGTGCGTTTCTGCAGCGGTTTTCCCAAGTTTGAAACAAAACTTCATACAGACACGCTGCTCTGTCAGGTCAGCCATCGCAAAAGCGCAAACTCTCGGAAACACAATAATGGAAATACGTTCACCAACAATAAACCCAACCACTCAACTCGACGCCGCTTGCCACACTGATTCAAGAAGGATGTGTGAGGAGACACCTAGCGGTATTTCGATGTACTCATAACCATTCGCGCGCAAAATTCAAATTTCAGACACTTGTGGATTGCCCCACATATATGTTATGAAATTCCAAAGGACTTACCCGTTTTTTTTTCAATCTTGAATCATGGCGATATTGTAAATATAATCACACTATATATAATAGTATTTTGTTCAGACTGTACATGAGTTTGAACTGTGTCACTTCACAGTTTACGATACACTCTGATGCACGTGGCACTTCTCGAAGCAGTCCACCTCACACAGAGCGACATCGCACTTTTTACAATAGAAGAGCGTGCTCCTGCTTTTCTTATTTAGCAAAACACACGACAGCTTCTTTGTTTCCCTTTGGTTGGCCAGTGTTGTGAATGTATCACCTCCAGTCGACTCAGTTGGGCCCCAGGTAACCTTTGCCTCCCCCGAGAAACGCCACTGACCATGATATTCAGCTTTGAGACTTGGTGATATTGTAAATATAATCACACTATATACAATAATATTACTGTACGCGAGTTTTAACTGCGTCACTTTACAGTTTCAGTTCGCAGTCACTTCACTATGATAGTCGCACTGACGCACGTGGCACTTCTCGAAGCAGTCCACTTCACACAGAGCAAAATCACACTTTTTACAATAGAAGAGCATGCTCCTGCTTTTCTTATTTAGCGAAACACACGACATCTTTGTTTCCCTTTGGTTGGCCAGTATTGTGAATGTTTCACCTCCAGTCAACTCAGTTGGGCCCCCTGATAACTTTGGCCTCCTCCTGAGAAACTCCACTGACCATGATATTCGGTTTCTGCGATTGAAGAATCATCTTGGAGGAGGGCGGTTTCTAGCAAAAGCGAATAAATTATGTTGATTGACAAAGTGACTCTCTCATCTATTAGTAATACTCGCAAAATATTGATGCAAAGTAATTAAAATACTAGTCAAAAAGAGTGCCAGTCCGCCACTGATACCAAAAGTCACAGTTGCGAAGATGCCTTTTACTCACAAAGTAATACTGGCTCAGTGGGTTTATACCTCTTCCAAGACGCAAAATAAAAATGATATATAAAGAAATATATGACAGTCTGACTCTGACTTTCTAACTGATAAAGAAATATTATACAATCCGACACTGACTTCCTAACTGATAATTCGTCACTGAAAACCAATCCTTGCATGCATCACACTTCCTTGCAGGCTCTGTAAGCACTCACATGCAAGCACAGAAGAATATTTCCTCATCAGTTTTCGAAACAAAGCCGGGCTATATTTGGCTGACCAGGTCATAAACAGTCATATCTAAACGTAAATAGTATCGAAACCAGTACCGTGATAAACGATTTCTTTGTTCAGAGCTAAGGAATGAACCACTGACATGACCTCATGTAGGTTTGTTTTGGTTTCAAACCCAAGGTCAAACTGTCAGCACTCCCAAAGGGTGCACGTGTCCTGCGTCATATATGTGTTATTCGGCCAACTCTGGTGGCGGCTTGTGACATGTATATGTGACATTCAGACATTAGAGGTTAAAGTTTGGTTAGGAAAATTACAGCTGATTCATATAAAATGAAAGATAAGTTGTGTCAGAAAAAGCTGCAATTTCCATACTTTTTGTCATAATGTATAACCATTATTTTTGGGCCGGGTTTGATCCTAGGACAGGTCATGTTTGATTTATGGTAGACAAAGTGGCACTGGGGAGGTTTTCTCCATGTACTTGGTTTCCCCTGCCAATTCTCATTTCACAAAATGTTCACATTCATTAATGATCCTGTCAACCCATCCTGTATAGTCTCAATACTGACATTGTTGTCAAATAACCAACTATAAAACATAATTTTGAACTTGTCTGTGTAACATACATTTACCTGTTTTACACACTTTTAAATTGTTGCTTTTTATTGCCAGTATAACTTAAGGTGATAAGAATGATATGAACTGACTATGTTGAGACATCCAGTATAAAACATATTTGATGGAGGAGCCCCACTGACAATAATCGATTATTTTTATGACAGTGGGCCCTCCTCTGCCTCTTTGTAGTTTCCCAGAATGATGAGTAGTTCTCAGGTATTAATTCTGTGTAGTCCAGCTAACTGACATTTTGGAGAAACTTATTGCCTCCATAATTAGGGTCAAAGAGTAAACCAATTAAGAAACCAGCATGAAGCAGGCAATGGGCAGAGCTCTTATAGAAAGGCTACAGCCAAAGAACTTGAATTTGCAGGGGTAAATTTTACTATTTTAGTCTTTTCCATATTTAATACCAGCTGGTTGACCTGGAACCATTTGGTGGTGTTATATAGAGTGTCATTAAGAATTCTGTTGAGTTCTTCGTAGCTATTATTGGAAATTAAGATATTTGTGTCATCGGCATACTTAATCACATTAGAATTGTTATCAAATAAACCCAGGAAATTATTATATAGATGTTAAACAGGAGTGGCCCCAATACTGATCCCAGAAGTACACCTGATATAAGTTTTCCAAGATGAAGAATAATTACATTTACCTGAAAACTTCAGTTTTACTCCTTGTTTCCTATTGTACAATATGACTTAAACCACTCTAACAGTAAGCATTTGACACTGTAAAATTGCATTTTGTTAGCAATAATTTGTGATTTACACAATCAAATACTCTAGTCAGGACACAAAAAGCAACTGCAATGTATGTATTGTTGTTCCATGCATTTAAAATAATTTCAGTAAAGTTATGTGTAGCATTAATTGTAGACAATCCTTTTCTAAAACTGCAGTTTCTGTAGCAAAGATATTGTGAATTTGGAAATGCTGATTAAGGCTACAATAAATCAGTAGTTCAAAAATCTTCGAAAAACTGGTACGCAAGGAAATTGGCTTCTGCACACAACTGTATGTGCCATGCATTTTGAACTGATGAGGCAACATTCACAGGGAGTGGAGTAAACTAGTCTTCACAACTTAGATGCACTGGCAGTGAAGAATCCTAATGTTACTTAACACTTTTCATTTCATCAAAGATTTAGTGTCAGAGTTTGGGCTGGAATTACATATTATTATTTAACTGGACATATGTGATAGTGAATCATCTTTGTGGAGTCCAGTATGCTGATTTCCTTGAAAGAGTTTACCTTTTTATGGGGGGATGTACCACTTACTGTTTTTCAGGGCATGTGGTTTCAGTACAGTGACATCCCTCCACACTGCCTAGTGTGTAATTAGTTGAACAGCCATTTTATGGACATATAAATTGGCCATGGGGATCCAGTTATCTTACCTTCCTGTTCTGCTGAAACCATTTGATTTTTTCCTTGTGGAAATGCATCTAAGAAGGCATGTATGCAACTGAAGTACAAGGACATAAAAAATCTGATCATTTGCATCCTTGTAACTCTGACAAGCATTAGTAGTCAGCCTAGACAAATGGCTCATATCAGGGACTCCAATCAGTGTTGCTGTGTTGTTGTTGTTGTTGTTGTTGTTATTGTTATTGGAGAGGGTGGGTTTCCCCATGCACTTATACCAGATATTGGTCCATTGTGTGTCCCCCTGTGATATTCTACCAATCTCTATACCCTACTGGTACTGGTGCATGCCTTTAGTCCTGACTCAGCCGGCGAGTTTTGGCATCTACTGTCTCAGCGGTATCTCGATGCTTCCCCCATCTACCAGAGGCGTTAGAGACTACTGTTGGGCGGGAAATGTCCTGAATTTGGCTCAGAGGTCCCCTTGGGACATGAGGTTCTTTTACGTGCCGTAAAGCTACGACGCAGGACCCACGGCTTAAAGTCCCTCCTGGAGGACTTGTTCCCTGAATTTTTCCGCCCTTAAAAACTCCACGACCTCCGCCGGGTTCGAACCCGTGTACCTTTCAGTGTTGCTATGAAGTGTGCATGCATGGTATTGGAGGTAACTTCAGATATTTCTTGTTGAAAAATACATAGAACTGTATGTGTGAGTCCTGACTGCATGGGCAGATGTTTGTATTAAATGTAATATAAAATTATAAATGAAAAGAGCTAGTAACTTTGGAACTTTTGTTTATCATTCATTATAAATAAAAATTATTAAACGTAAGTAATCGTATGTGTACAAAACTGGGCAGTTATTTAATTTTCATAAAAGGTGGTGAAATGTCATAATTCAACAAGGATGATGAATTGAACAGCAGTTTATTTACACTTTCTGCTCCAAATTATCTCTCCGACAGTCTTCTAAAATTTGGCAGTAAGAAGTTCTGTATTGATCTTTATAGTGATTTTGAAATTATTCATAGACATGATAGCTGTTCTGAGCCAAATAGTAACAAGCAAATTGAATATGATGCTGTAAACAGAAGACACTTGTCTCTGATCATTCTGCCTTTCACAGTGACACATTGCTGTTCACTTCCTGAATGTCGTGATCAAGGGGTTAGCATTCATACCTAATGTTTATAAGGTTCCTAGTTTGATTCTGAGCCTAGAGACTGGTCATCCATATTGAGATATGCTGTTCTCAGTCCCTCAAGCCAAGTGCTGGGATAGTACCTCCAGAGAAACCATGACCATTTCCTTACCTGTTTTTTCCGGTTCATCTGTCACATTCATCCTACTGTTTGTTACTATATAACCAGTGTACTCTAAAAAGTGTCATTAAATCAACCAGGATTGTCAGCCTTCTTCACTTATCATGGATCCTTAGAAAGAGCATCTAGATATCAGGAAAGTAAGTACCAGATTCTAAGTTTTCTCATTGCAGGACTCCTTGCACAACTCACTAGGTGACCTGCTCAACACACACATTTTCCTGGATAGTGAAAATGTGATTGGCCGTGTCATCATAGAATTGGGCTATGCAGAGACATATGCCTTGAGATCATGCAGAGGCCAGGATCAGAGTGACCTTTCAGACCTTCCTGCACAGGATGGCTCTGCATTGTACAAGCTACTTACAGACCCTGACAACGTGAATCTGGAAAACCTTACAGTTGATATGTTTGGGGTAAGATTTGTGATAAGTTCACACTGAAAAATTTTGTGACATCCCCATCCATTTGTAAAATGAACTTGATGGGTCTTCTCATGTGTATAGGTTTACCATCTCAGAGGCTTATCATATCCACAGATTTTCCACTTGAGAAATTGAGAAAAAGAGTGTTGAAAAGTGATTTATGTCATAGTTATCTTTATGGCCACATTTTGTTTTGCATTTGCAGAGAGTATAAATAAATGAATGAATGAAATGAGTGGTTGAATGAATGCATAAGAGGTAGGGTCTAGACTGGCTCTTGCACTGCAACCTTTAGTGATCTATTTTGCATGGAATGTATGTAGAAGCACATCATGATTATTTTATTTTTAATAATATAGTGAATATGAAATTTCCTGCAACAGATATTTATAAAATCTAAACTATTTACTTTGTGTAATAAGCCAATGAAACATATGAGATCTGAAGATCTGCAGGTTCCACAAATCTAGTAAGAGTCTAGAATCCAAAAGTGTTAGGATGGTAATCTTTCAGTGCATCAAATGTGTATGTATATCACTGTGGATGTGTGGGGATTGTGTACTTATTGAAGCTTGAAAGTGCAGTTCAAAGGCCAGAAAATTCAGACCTGGCTGGAATTTCATCACACTATATGTCTTGTATGTTCTTTCTCAGGTTATTCACCAGATGGGAAGGTTAAAAGTAAATGACAAAATGACAGTAGTCACCAATCAGTAATCCCATAAACACTGCACAGTTTAATTAATTTTCTTGTTGAAATTTATATGGTAACTGTTAATGGGGGAAAGTTGGCATATTTGTAGTCTTTAAAACCCCATTCTCCAGAGCACTTTCTTGAACATCTGTTCACTCTTGTGAAGCATCCACTATTGTCAACCATAAAGTCGACAGTAAAATACAGTATGGTAATTCAAATATACTTCCTGTGATGATTTTTGGTTACATTTTAGGGCTAGTAAATGAAAAGAGAAATTATAATACATAAAACGCCTTTAAACTATAATGAATGAAACATTACGGTATTTGCTATTTTATCTTTTACTGTAATTGCATTTTTTGACCCTGGGACTCTAGAGCAACTACTTTGGTTAATCTGGCATTGTATCTGGGTTTGAAAATTTAGGTGTTCAGATGTCCCTCCAATACTCAATGAAGAAAGTGAATATTTATCTAATATTATATGTAATCAATGTTTTCTTTATAGAGGGTTACGAAACATATCAAGAAATGTCAGAACAATTTGTTTCGGGCCAAGGTGCAGTGTTTGTTTGGTGAGATGGTGATTCAGGAGCTGCAACTAGCCACTGACCTCATGCTCACAGCTTGCCGGTAAGAACAGTTGCTCTAAACAGCAGTAACACTGATGTAATAACACCAGACATTACATCAGTAAGCTCCACAGGCTTAAGAGGTTTGCAGTTGCCTAACTGCAAGGTACAGGATCGTGTTTGACAAAATTGATAGTTCATTCAGCTGGTGGAAAAAGGTTCCTATTTCTGTGAATCCCTTGTAAATGGATTCTTCAGGGACCATAACTGGAGGCTGGAATAAATTTATTGTAATCAGTCTTTATTTGTTTCAGAATTGATGTTAGGTGTACATTCTTTGTCTATTACAGGATAGGCCGAACACTGATTGGTGTGGGAACCAACCCTAACAGCAACATGGGCTTGGCAGTTATTAATCTGGGAGTGTGTAATCTGCCACCGACATTCAGAACGGATATAGCAAATAAGTAAGTTCAGAGCTGCATGTAACACTGTGGGCTGACAGCGGACATAGGAAGTGTTTCTGTTTTGCAGATGTGAAGTGCTGCACATAGTTTAATCAATCTAAAATTTGTGGCTTGTATCCCTTATAAAATAAGCTTGTTTATTGAGGTAAAGATTAAAATTTGTTTCTGTTTTATTTTGGGTCAGTTAAATTCTCGTAAGAATAGAATACTATACATTGGATTAGCCAACAAGAACAGAGGTAACAGAGAGATACAAGTGTTTCCCTCTGCCTGAGTTCCATGCTATTAACCTGTTCTCAGAGAGGCTGGGTGGTCCCTAGAGCCAGTTTGAAAACAGATGTATGTGAGTGTGCCAAGAGAAGAAAAGAAAAGCAGAATTTATGAAAAAAGAAAAGAGCCTTAAAAATTAAATTCTCATTGCAGTTCTAAGTGCTCATAATAGTGTAAACTTACATACCATTCACCAATTATTATTTCATAATTTATGTATATTTAACATTATTAAGTCATTTACATGTTCTTTGATTTTATCTAATCAGAATAACTGTATTTTTATAAATAATTAAAAAAAAATACAAATATTCAGAATTATCATAGAAATTCCATATTGGTATACTATATCTGTGATCCATAATGTAAATTATGTAGCAGGTTATGCTTCAATGTTTCACAGCCTGTAAAGCACATGATGTCACTTGAATTGGTATATGTCCTGCAGCTGTAAAAATATGCCATTAGATTAAATGACCATACATTAAATAATCAGTTTTTTAATTGACTACTCATTTTAGACCATACTCATTAACATTAGATTTTCATCCTCTTTCTGTTGATTCAGAGTTATTTTGTGAGTGTAATCAGAGTCCACTGTGGTTTTAGGTTGCTAGCCCACATTGAGCAATACAAAGGCACATGGCTTCAGCGACATCTTCCTGCAGGACTCCAGACTTCCCTGCTTGTCCTCACCTCAGCTCTGCACCGGTTTGTTCCTGATGAGTCTCAGGGCACATAACTGGACATTTATTCCTTATTTACATTGCTCAAGTTGATGTATTATGAATGCCTTTCATAATTAAAATGTCAAGATTGAGAACAAACCAGTGGTGAAAGTATTTGTTATGCTACTGAATGGCTCTGGGTGCATCTGCTGTGTTTACCTGAATAAAAATCAACCTAGATCTAAAAAAACCTCTTAGAAGATGTGTTACGACAGTGCGTAAAGTGCAGCAGTTTCACCAAAACAATTTTCACGCACCTGATGATGGCCATGTAGGCCAAAACATGGTATGTAAATAGGATGAAAGAATGAGAATTTTAATTACAAATTAAAGAAGTTGCATGAAAGATGGAAATGAATACATGGAAAGTAGTTTGTAGCATCAGCGTGGCTGTTGTTGTGTACGTTTTCGGCTTGAAGTGTCATGATAAAGAACAGAAGAGTATCAGTGTGGTACTTTCTTAATATGCAGATGTAAATGACACTTGGGCCAGTAAAGGTACAGAAAACAGTCGTAAATTCAGGTAAACATGGTAATTAGGAATCCCATCAGGTATTGATGATTATAAGATTAACTGGAGCTATTCTAGTAATGTGTCATTCTGATATACTGTAACATTCATTTTTCTGATTATTTATCCCTTTGCCCCCCATTTCATCTTCCAGTCTTTTGTATTTATAATTTCATTAAGACATTTAATGATTTTATTTTATCTGCAAAATGTTACGTTCATTTAAACACTATGCAGTGAAACCTTGGCACTTGTCTTGGCAACGAAGGTGATAATCTTAAAAATATAAAAGTGAAAGTATAATTGTGAGCTAGTAGATGTTACTCTTTCTCAGAAATGGAAAATTGTTGTACTTCTGTCAGAATATTTGAGTGCTTCCACATCATACGCTGTATAAATACTAGTATTAGCACTACAGCAGTGTAATTACAGAGACTTTGTTTGAGCCAAGTGGTCATGCATCATTGGACTTCTATTAGTCCTGTTGCTAGACTTGTATTTCGTTGAAATCTCAGCTTCATTACTGGCTTTCCCGAATGATGTTTTTCATTGTTTTCCTCAGTCTCTCATGGCACCTGCCATGATAGTCTTGAAATATGCCATGACCACTTCATAAATCTTTCTCTCTCATCTATTCCTAATCATCTGTACCTCTAATTTGGTTGTATATGATCACTGCAGCTGAAGCAGCATAATTTTACAAGTGTGAAGGTTTGTGTCATGGTATGTTATTAGACTGACATATATAATGGACATTTTATAGCATTTTATTTTCTTTTTTAACAAAAAAAAAGAAGGCAGTGGAAACTTTCCATCATATGTCATTAGCAAAATTTAATGTCCATATCATCATTTATTTAATGACATTTTCTAAGCTACATTATTTATGTATCATCAAATGGGAAGGATAATGAAGCAGTTGTGATCTGAGATAATGTCCCAGCATTCACCAGGAATGATTAATGACAAGACTAGAAAGATTGCACTCTGTAATGTAGTGCACTCTGTGAAGCTTATAATAGTGAAATGAAAATTAGTGTAAGTGTCCCATATTGAGTTTTGACAAAATCTGTGGAAAGATTTGTGGGATACATGTTAAAGTCCATTAATTTCTTTATTATACATCAGTACAGCTGAAAATCACAAGCCTGACAAATTTTAGCATAAGTCTCCCATGTCATATTTTATGAAAATCTGTCCAACATTTAGGTGCTGAGACTGGGTCAAAGATAGACAGAGCAACAGATGAATAGATTTCATCTCCGTGCAAGGCATTCATCTTTATTTTGTAAGAATCACCAAAAACTTTAAAGAAACACCTTGAGAATTGAAAGTGGTACCTCTTTCATACAAAACAAGACTGAAAATCTCTTGACTGCAATCTGTCATTTAGTAAACTAAGATGTATTCAACATGTGAGAGTTTGTTGAGTGTACAGGCAGCTTTGGTTTACAGGGTTACTCACCATAGAATAGGATTAAGTGGGTGGTTATGAACCTGTTGGACTTGAGGTTTTCAGGAATGGGAAGACACAATAAAGCTTAGATTATTTCTAGAAAAATCAAGTCCAAATGAAGGAATAATACATGTATTTCATCACCACGAAAGCACACCACAGGTTCTAGTATTGCAAAAATGTATTACTGAGTCATTTTAAGATATATTTTTCTTTAATTAAATATATATATATATATACACAAAAAAGCGTAGGCAATGTCCATCCAACCCTCTGTAGCAGAGTCTTATAAACATCTTATTCTATAATAGTAGTCACCGCACTATTTTAATACAGGGTGTGCCAATGAATTTGGCAATCTTAAAAACGTTATGAACAGTAAACTATTGCATTTATTTGGTTTTAACACATAGGAATATGGTGTAAACATAAAAACATTTGGTTTTTCTCAATTAACTCACTGAAAACAGAAGTCTAATTCCCAAAAATAATATCTGACAGATGACCACCATTCCGCTGTAGGGACTTGGTAAATCTCTTCCTAAAGTCACTCATGACGCTTTGCAGCATCTCTACGGGAATTCGTTCAACTTCTTCCCGAATTCGATGTTTCAACTCTGAACTGTGTGGGGTGCTGGAATTTTTAAAACTTGTGATTTAAGATACCCCCAGAGAAAAAAGTCACATGTGGAAAGATCAGGTGACCTGGCTGGCCATATGGTGTCCCCATATCTGGAGATAACATGGTTAGGAAACAGGTTATTCACAACTGTCATGGAAGCTCGTGCGGTGTGGCACGTAGCCCCATCTTGCTGGAAAAGTGTTTCTTCCTTGACTGGAAGACGAGCAAGTGCAGGAGCTAAGAAGCTCTCCAACTTGTGAATGTAACGTGGTCCAGTCACAATTACAGCCCTTTCCCACTCATCTTCGAAGAAGTACGGGCCAGTAATTCCAAACAAAGATATTGCGCACCATACTGTGACTTTGGAACTGTGAAGTGGTCTGTCATAAATTTCTTTGGGAGTTGTAGCTGACCAGTAGCAGAAATTTTGCTTGTTAACAAACCCTGATAAATGGAAATGAGCTTCATGGCTCATCAGTAAGTTGTTAATGACATCTTGATTTTGATTAATTAATTGGAAAAAGTGTCTGGCAGAAATTGACTCCTTTTTCATAGTCATGTTTTTATAGTGCATGAGTAATTTTATTAAGTTTGATTTGTTGATTTGTTTGAGTAATTTGAAGTTTATAGGGGTAGAAGTGGAGATCTTTTGTGCAAAATCCATCAAACGCTGGTTTCAGACAGCCCAAGTGATGTAGTGTGGCAATGCGCAGACCAGTGTGAACTTCATTCAATGGCTTCTCTTACTGCCGCTACATTCTCAGGTATACCTTCTGTTTTTATGCTACCACCTTTCTTCTTTAGTGTAGAACCAATAGCCTCAAAGTTTTGAACCCAGGTCTTGTTGGCATGGGCAGATGGAATAGGACAATTGCAATGAATACCAAACTCTCTTTGAAATTCATGCTGAGCGATCACGAAACTGTCACCATTTTTGTAAAATGCTTTCACAGCAAAAGCTCACTGTGCTCCAGTCCACAGCACCATTGCAACTAAAATGCTTTGAAGTAGGCTGCTGGGTGGCAGTAATGGCATCCTCCCCACTCCAAACAGTCCAGGAAAGAACACCGCTGCCAACTCACCTGATTCATTGACACACTCTGTACATCTCTAAACTTTGAGAGTATACTGTTAATATTTGTATATTTACTTCATTTTCCTTTTTTTGAAATAAATTTAGGTATTTTGTTTATGAAGTGACAGACGCCTTGCACAAATCTTTTTCCTCTCCCCTTAAGAGCGCTCTGCAACTGACTTTGGGAATTTAGTCTCTTACTTTTCCTTTAATTATCTTGGCAAAGTTCTTGTTCCGTTCATTTACATCCCTCTCCCTTTTCCTTCCATAGTGCGTTTTTACTTATGTGATTTGTTCCTTAACTTTTCCCATAAATGCAATTCAATCGTTGTCTTTATTATGCAGTCTAGAACCCTTTTAGCTGCTTTTTCTTCATCCTATTATGTCATTATACTCGATGTGAATTGGAAAATGATCGCTATTCCAAAGTCTGTTCCAGCCTTTGAGGTATATAACAGTGCAGATCTTTGGTCTACAAAAGTTAAGTCGAGGGCAGCCTTGGATCCTGTGGCATCGGGGATGTATGTCTGGGAGCTGTCATTTAGCAACACAATGTTTGTTTCCAATTTGGTGATACAATGGATCAGGTTGTTACTGGTATTAACATCTTCTGAATTACCCCATGAATGATGATGTCCATTAATGGCTCTGCCAATCAAGAATTTAACTTTAATTCTGGGAAGTTTTTTTCCCATTCTCTCAGCCTGATTTTCATGTGTGGCAGTCTGTAACATGACAATTAGTATTTTATCTTGGCCAGTATATAGTTCAATTGCACACACTTCAGTTTTGTCACCACTATCATATAGACCATCTTTACATGAATAGTTCAGGTTGTTATACATTAAATGGCAACATCACCAACTGCCCTTCTGTTCATTTTTTCTCACCATGTCAAACCCTTTCAGGTATACGCATTCTTATTCATCAAGCCAGGTCTCTGATAGTATTATGACAAACGTTGTTTACCTCCCATACATTACGTACAATTCTCTGTATGATGAGGCTCCAACTATTCCATTAATTATTGGGCCTCCTATACAATTTTATAATGAAACATTGAAATTTACTATTTGTCAAAGGATACGTATGTAAAGTGGAACCAACGACTGATTCGTTGTTAAAAAAATCAATCAAATTTTAATTTTGTTTTTATATATGACTTTTATTGGTTTTAAATAACCTATTTATTGTATTCTTATTGCAAATTATCTTAAATGATTTATGAGATTGTATCAAATTTTGCGTACTGCAGTTCAGTGGTGTACGTTTGTTGAAGTGTGTTTGCCTGATGATGGCCACAAGTGGCCGAAACATGTAGCAGAACTATATCTGGACATTATCCTTGAAGTTCTTTAATTGTTGTGTTGTGGCTGTCTAATAAATAAGTTGTATGTATTGTAACACAGCAGGATGCATGAAATGAAAATTATTTATTATTAGAATCTTCAGAATGAACATGTTTGCAGTATAGGACAAGGCAAACCCAGACAGGAAATATAAGAATCTTAAACTTGGCAGTGGTCAAGCTTACGACCGTTCAAGTGACCAGGCTGCCACTGTATCATAAGTTATGTAAGATACATATGATCTGGTTTGCATAGCCTGGACTGACAGTGGACTTGTATATAGTTCAAAAGGAACAATTTTCAATAACGTATTATATGTGCAATATGTACGCTTGACAAAAGGCGAAGCATATTCATAAAACAAACCGATCCTCTCCTCAAATAGGATGTTACATAAGGAGTATGACCGCAAGGATTCAGTTGAAAAAATAAATCGCTGGTCATGACCTCAAGGGGCTTGACTCCAAGACAAACTGATTTACAGTAAACTGCCAGTCATAAAGTAACTTTGACTGTTACTTTGAAAGTTGTTGAGCAAATCTGATTGATCCATAATGAAGTCTCTTCACATAAGACCATAAATGGTCTGTTTCACATATCCCATAATCCCATACATCATCTGTTTTATGATCTCTTAGGAGTTTGCACTGCTGTAACTTTAAAGTGGTATCATGCCATGTAAACTTCTTTCTCTTGGCATATCCACATAATGAAGGCTTGAAAGCATGATCATCTGTGAGAAGTGTATCTTATGAACTAGCTAGTGGAAATTTGCATTAATTTTCAGTATTAATGGACATCTGTGATGTATGTAAAACCTACTGTAACATTCTAGCAATACCAGGAGAACTGTATAAATCACAAATTCATGACTATGTCCATTCCTCACTCAATTTATTTTGCCTAGGTCCAGCACTTTGTCTTTGAATCTTTACAACTTGCACCCGTAAGTGACACATAAGTCTTTTTTTTTTAACTCTTTGACTGGCGCGAAGGGTATTTAAATCCCACCCCTGTCCTGGCAGGCCCTTTAAACCTTATGTCGCTAAAATGCATGTAGTTACTTTTTCCTAAACAACTTCAACAAAAATTGGTTTTTAAAAACGAAATTTTCAGGAACTAATTAAAATACAATATTTTATGCAATAAATGCCTTTCCATACCTCTTTATTAGTTTTTCTTCGTGTGATAAACATTGAAACATGAAAGTTTGCAGAGAGCCACACCACAGCCTGCACACATGATACTTGTTTCTTTTCTAACCTTGTGCTTAGCACTCACGCGACACTTTCTCAGGGCACCATTCTTCTTATTGTTACTGGGAGGAACATGGACCATTTTGTGAATTTTCAAGCCACCCTCTAGACGATTTACTGGCTCTTTCACTGGTGGTCTTTTCAAGGTCGAGGGCGGAGGCGTGACTGCACTCTAGTCTGACGCAATAGATTCGTCATCCACTTCATTCCTTGACTTTTCTCCCTCTCCACCCTGTTTGTTTGGTTCAGTCATTTTTCTACACAGTCCAATATAAAATCTTTGAATCTGTAATTTCTCTTCCTGTATTTTTCGTTTGTTGTGTTCTTTTTGAATAGAATGAAACTATTCAACCGCAAAGACATGTTTTGTCCATACCATGGGTGTGAAATAGGGGCCTAGTGGACAAATATTCTTCAATTTCAGGGCGTTTGTCGATTCCTGTCATGAACACAATTCCTAAGTATGTCCAGATTTCATCTGATGTGACATAATTGTAATTGTGTTTTCGAGAGTGAGGAGCTAACTCATGTGTGTTGAAGTGCTGGTGAGCATAGCGATTGGTTTCAGTTGTGATGTGATTTACCAAGTCATCCAGAAAAAATTTTAATCCATGAAAAGGGATGCATTTTATGTGTTATATCAATTTTGATCCCGAAACTATTAGCAAATGGAAATACTGGGGGTACAATGTCTCCAACCGTTCATGAGATGGGCATGATAGGCACCGCACTCGTGGTAGGTGAATGTTCATGATTACTGTCTTTTGGATCATTGTCTATCACTGCATTATTGTCACTATCAACTTCATCCAATCCAGGAATCATTATTCCATTGCCACTATCATCATCAGAACAAATCTCGTTCACAACATTTTCCAGCTGGTCTGTAGGAACACGAAGACACTTGCTGCAAGAAGCCATGGTGAAACTGAATGAATGTGAAATATTTTCTGACCTTTTCCTTCTCAGAGGGTTCTGACAGTAATATAGACCCCCACAAAGTTTACAAGGGTTCTTTACAAACATGCACAAAAACTATCATATATATGTCTTTGGTTGATGAGTGCCAAGAGAGCAAAGAAGGGAAGAGATTGTCAAAGCGTTAAAACACGCCAACGCCAGGGAACGGCTGGCATCGTCTGGGCGTTAAAACACGCCCGCGCCAGTCAAAGAGTTAATATGGTCTTATGATGTTGGTAAGCTAGAAGTGCTTGAGCAGGCAATGAATCCTTCTCTACTCTGTAAGATTTGAGGCTTTCACGGCGGTGACTATGAAGAAAGCAGTCTTCGTCGCTTGCAGATTTCTTATACTTTTTCTTCTACCCTGAAGATGGAGGCGATATGTTCCTCCGAAACGTCGGTTAACACCACTTATACACGGTGCCAAATCCCAGAAGACTGCTTTCTTCTTCTCTACTCTGTTCACAATGTTCTCCTGTAATCTAGAAATATATCCATTCCAGAACTGCTTTCTATTGCTGCAAGCACTTCCCTTTCTCAGTGATAAATACTTCACTGGCATTACTGTACACCTGTGCTTTAGTAAATGCTCTTCTCTGTTGCACATATTTTATGGAGAATGATTCAAGTGACCACCTCCATCAGTATGTCTTTCTGTATGTCCTTAATGTGTCCATTGTGACTTTGGTTAATGTAATTATATGTGTTAAAACTCTTAAGACATGAGAACTATAATGAGCCTAAAAAGACATGCTTCAAGTAGCATCAGATGACTGATTGTTCATATTTTGTAAATCATTTAGTAGCCCAAGGTATTCATATGTAGTGGCATTTGTTACCGAGAGTAGATGTGTGATCTTACATGTATGTATTGTATATATATATAAGTTTCATATTGAAAAATTTTTTTAAAGTGCCTTCTACTGCTGTTAGAGAATACATATTTCTTATTCCTTGTTTTAGTTTAGTGTTTTTTTTAAATACGAGTTTATGTTTTTGTCTTATGAAATGTATTATAATCAACAGAAAATGTGATAGTGTGACAACTTTAACAGGCTCCAGTGGCCAGTCAGGCAGAATAACCTGAAATAGAAGGCATAATGGGCCAGAAACATTTGATTGATTTCATAAACTTGGTGCAATGCATTTTGTATGTGATTGCTGACTATTCTTCACATTTATAGGTGTGATTTCCAAATGATGAATTTCCTTTGTTCATATGGACTATCTGGATGAACATACATTGACAAAAGTCAACACCTAAGGGTACTTAATAGAGTATTTCAACCAAAGCGTAATATGTATATAAAAATTAGGTCCAAACTTGGTAATATAATGTCTGGCTTACGTAGAAACATAAGTGAATTCTTAGATATGTGTACAGGTTGTCCGGATGAAAGGTATCCAAAATAAAAAATTTATATCTCGGAAACTAATTGTCATACCCGTTTCTGGTTTACGTCATCAGAAAGGAAAACTCTTAAACTTTTTTTTCCATCCCCAGCTTGCGCGCTTGCACCAGCTGGTGACCTTTGGCATGCTCAGTAACAGTGTCAACACCACAGGAACAAGTTCAATGCATGTTGTGGCTAGCAGAGTTACGATCTCTTACGGCCATCCAGCATCGTTGTAGAACACAATCTGGATGTTAACCTACTACACAGAAAATGATTCGGTTCTGGGACAACAGACTGAGGATTACAGGTAATCTGGTGCACGTAAAATCTCCTGGAAAGACCCGGACCTCTAAAGAAAATGTCAGTCGCATTAGAGAGGCGTTCTAGAGAAGTACGCACAAATCAGTTCATGCTGTTGGAGTTACAAATTCCACATTCAACAGTGAATGATGTGCTACACAAAAGGATCCACCTAAGAGTGTACAAGATTCAAATGATTCAGGCACTAAAACTGAGTGACCAAGTAACATGCACACACTTCGTTGTGGACATGCTAGAAAGAATTGACACATCACCCGATTTCCTCCGCCATGTGTTCTTTTCGGATGCCCACATAAGGTATGCTATGGCTACGGTAACACCAAACATGCCTCAAGCAACATGGAACAAGGTTGAATATCATCTGGATATTTGTCATTCCACCAAGGGAGCCCACATTGAAATTTACTGAGGAAGTTATATACTCAAGAAAAAACCTTGATAGTTTCCCTTTGTAATGGTGTAACCCATACATGTGTATAATAAATGCTTTTTGAGATATAATTATTTTATTTTGGATACCTTTCATCCAGACACTCTATATATGTGCATCACTTTATGAGTATGAACAAATTTTATAATGCAACACTGCGAACTCCTTAGTTTTTGATCCATCTCTTGATGTGAAAATACTGCAGAGTCCTAATTTAAGGTTTCATAGTCATTGAAATTCCTACATTGTATTCATTTCTTGTGGTCCTAGCCAAAGACCTATTAACATAATGTATAATCTTGCCCAGTTCAGTGCTTCTTATTATAGTGTTTTTCCCCCATTAAGTGAATGAAAATCCAGTCCCTATATGAAATCTTGTTTCTTGATTTAACGTCGTATTTACCTGAATGGAAGACTAGGTTTTCCCCCTATTTTCAGGGTTATGAAGGGTTGTGTTCATTTTTAAAAATATATTAATTGTATTTAAACACTTGAAGCTTTCAGTAGAATGATGTTTTTGAGATGCAATGGGTGCTGACTGACAAAAGACAGACCTGTCATCTCGTCAGAGAGGATGCCCCACAATAACAAGATGGTAACTATCAAACAGTAATAAATATACGGTCATGACTGACTGACCATCAGTCGCAATGTGACTTTGACTTTGACTTGTGTGTCAGTCGAATTTCGAGCGCCAGCCAGCCAGGATATGAGCTTGGAAGCAGAGGAGTTGAATTGAGGCATCAGAATTATTGCGTGCAGGTTAGTTGAGACTTGAAGGCCAGTCTGGGAAGAGAAGACTTTAACGTGTGATTTGAAGATTTTAGGGTGCTGTATTACAGTGATATCTGGAGTGCGACAGTTATAGTTCCTGTGTTCAAATTTGTTGCCAGGAAATGAATAGTGAAAACTTTGTAGAGGAATAGCCAGTGTTGTGACATGTAATGAAGCAATAACTAGTGAAAGGAGACTTAGAAGACGTACTGTGAGTTATTGTAAATTACTGATGATTAAGAGTAAGAACAAGAATATTAGAGACCTGTTTAGAGGAATAAATGACTTTAAGAGGGGTTACCAGCATAGCAGTAACTTAGTGAAGGATGAGAATGGTGAACTGCTTGCAGAGTCCCACAACATTTTGAATAGGTGGAGGAACTACATCTCTCAGTTATTGAATGTACATAGGGTCAGTGATGTTAGGCAGATAGAAATACATACAGCTGAGCCATTAGTACCTGATCCTAGCCCTTTTGAGGTTGAAAGTGCTATTGCAAAATTGAAATGGTATAAATCTCCAGGTAGTGATCAAATTCCGGCAGATCTTATTCAAGCAGGAGGCAAAATATTACGTTCTAAGATCCACAATCTAATTACTTCTATTTGGCATAAGTAAAAATTGCCTGATCGGTGGAAGGAGTCTATTATTGTACCAGTTCATAAGAAGGGTGATAAAACTAACTATAGTAATTATCAGGGCATAGCAGTGCTATCAGCTTCATATAAAATTTTGTCCAATATTCTTCTTTCAAGGTTAAGTCCATATATAGATGAAATTATTGGGGATCATCAGTGTGGATTTCGACATAACAGATCAACTACAGATCAGATCTTTTGCATTCGTCAGATATTGGAGAAAAAATGGGAGTACGATGAGACATCACATCAGCTATTCATAGATTTCAAGAAGGCCGACAATTCAGTAAGGAGGGAAGTATTGTACAATATTCTAATCGAGTTTGGGATACCCGTGAATCTAGTTAGGTTGATTAAAATGTGTTTAAACAAAGGGTATGGTAAAGTCCATATAGGTAAACATTTATCTCGTAATTTCCCTATCCAAAATGGTCTAAAACAAGGAGATGCTTTATTGCCACTGCTTATAAATTTTGCTTTAGAATATGCCATTAGGAAGGTCCAGGGAAACCAGGTGGGACTGAAATTAAACGGGACACATCAGCTGTTGGTCTACACTGGTGATATGAATCTGCTGGGTGTTAATGTAGATACCATAAAGAAAAACACACAAACTTTAAGTGACGCAAGTAAAGAGGTTGGTCTAGAAGTAAACACAGAGAAAACTAATATGTTACTGTCTCGTCACCAAAATGCAGGGCAAAATCATGACATGAAGGGAGGAAACAGATGTTTTGAAAATGTGGCACAGTTCATATATTTGGGAACAGTAATAACAGATCGAAACCTGATTCAGGAAGAAATTAAGAGGCAATTGAACTCGGGTAATGCTTGCTACCATTCAGTCCAGAACCTTTTGTCTTCTCATCTGTTGTGTAAAAACACAAAAATTAGAATATATGTACAAAAGTATAATTTTGCCTATGGTTCTGTATGGGTGTGAAACTTGGTCTCTAATATTAAGGGAGAAACATAGATTGAGGGTGTTTGAGAACAGAGTGTTGAGAATATTTGGACTGAAAAGAGATGAAGTGACAGGAGGTTGGAGAAAACTGCGTAATGAGGAGCTTCATAACATGTACTCTTCTCCAAGTATAATTAGAATTATCAAGTCATGGATGAGGTGGGTAGGTCATGTAGCACAAATGGGGGAGACGAATGCGTATAGGATATTGGTGGGAAAGCCAGAAGACACACCACAGAGAAGACCAAGGCGTAGGTGGGTGGACAATATTAGAATGGATCTTAGAGAGAGAGGATGGGATGGATTGGATAGATCTGGCTCAGGATAGGGAGAAGTGGAGGGCTCTTGTGAACACGGTGATGAACCTTCGGGTTCCATAAAATGCTGGAAAATTCTCGAGTAGCTGCAGAATTGGCGGCTCCTCCAGAAGGGCTCAGCTCCATGAGTAAGTAAGTAAGTACCTTGAATTAAATTCATATTTTATTTTGTTGTCGGTTTATTAAACGGCTGTTTCTTAACTGCATAGTGTTTGAATCATGCTGAAAGAGACGTATGCGCGGTTATGAATAATGAAGCAAGATTGGAAACAACATAAAATATAGACCTCTTTGAGATATACGTACAACATATACACTGTTTTGTATCGTTTTTCGGTATGAATTTTAAATGAAATACGACGAAAACAAATGTGTGCCTATTCACTATACCATCTTCCAGCACGAAGGACAAATTTGGTAACTGAATCTCACAGTGGATATGCTTCTCTATTTGGGTGTACGTTTCCGACGTCTTGTAATTTCCATCAGGCAAAATGCCTCGTTGCATTATGTCCATAGTTAGCATAGTTAGTGTTTCCCCCACTTCAAGGCATAAACGATCAGGTCGGCTTGTTACCTCTCTTTGCCCCACCCCGCGAAGTGTAAGATCTAAGACAACGCTATAAAGTGGTTGGCCGCTTTGAATACAAGAGATATTTTGAAAAGAAGTTAAATTTAAAATTGTATTTTTCAATAACCAAACTGTACGTTTATATATATATATTATCATTTAATCTCCTATAATCCAAGCACCTATACAAATTAATTATGTTTAAATTCGCCAATGAGACCGCCCGACGTGGGAATCGGACCCATGTGACATCATACAACGGGAGGAGAACCAATAAGAATGCTACACAATGTGACGTCACAATATATACATATATATGAGATTTGCGCCAGACGTTTCCGTTGTCTGAGAAAGCGTCGTTACTGCTTTCTGAGAACGTTGGGCTGAGACTCTTTTATACTAAGATATTTTTCTGCCAAAATGGTGAGTATTCTAATTGGACAGTTATTAAATACAATAGTATAACGAGGAAGGATTTTACGTTATGCTCCCGTAAGTTTTCAGGCGTTTGCATATCACGAAAGTACGGAATACGTTACCTCCGGAAGTAGTAAAGAGTTTTCACAAGTTGTGGAATTGGAAGATTAATCATGTTTGTTATAACGAAAATCTGAAGTTATCGTGTTTGTAATATTACGGAAATAAACTGAAGTTTGTGGACGCAGTTTGACGTGGCACTTGCTACAAGTTGGTAATACAGGGAACGAGATTCACACCATTTATTTTTTTTTTCTGTATTTGTCGAAGAATTATTGTAGTTATGTACTGTGGAAAATGAGTTTCTTTGCTGTTAATGAGGTTTAGTATTAAATCAGTTTTCGGTATATGGAACCGAAAGCAGGTCTTCTCGTGGAGGTGATGACTTCACCTTAAAAGCAGTTGAGAATGTAGAATTCAGTAGTTTAAAGAGACGCAGTTTAAATGGAAATAAAAGAGTCACATTGCAAGTCTGCTAGAATGGTTAGTGAGTTGCCATTTGTGTGGTTTGTGAGTCCTGGAATTCGAATTTAATGCATTAAGACTAGCAATATGTATTTAATTTCAAGAGGTTTGAGATGAAAAACAACAGTGTGGGTGCTGAAAATTTCGTGATATGACATTGGTATTGCAACAGGATCTGCAGGATGTTGTATGTTTTCAGCGTGAATGTATCTCGATCCATGTTGGGCAAGCTGGAGTGCAGATTGGCAATGCTTGCTGGGAGTTGTACTGCCTCGAACATGGCATTCAGCCTGATGGTCAGATGCCGTCTGATAAGACTCTTGGAGGTGGTGATGACAGTTTTAACACATTCTTCAGTGAGACTGGTGCTGGAAAACATGTTCCAAGGGCAGTTTTTGTGGATTTGGAGCCTACAGTAGTTGGTATGTATATTAAAATCATAAGCATATTCTATGGTATGATGTATGCAAGAGCTAAAGCTATTATAGCATTTTGAATTAGAATGCTAATTACATTATAAGTAAGTAGGTAGGTAAGAGTACTGTAGAGTAACAGTGAGAAGGGGTAGTAATTGCACAAAGTGAAGGAAGTGGCTTATAAGCAGCAATCAGCTCTTATGTCAGTTGAAGCATGCTGTTTGTAACAAGACTGTTCTATGTAAAGAGGGTATGAAAGGAAATATGAAACTTGTTTCGACTGAAGTGAAGTGTGTTTGTCTCACTGCCTTAGGGGTGGTTTGTATGTTGCCCATTGTAAAGTGTTCATTGAGATCATGATGTTCGCATTATCTGCTTGTAAGACTACTACTAATGCTTGATTGTCCAAGTGTAATCTATTGTCTAACTCACCATCTAGTACATAGGGCAGTAATGGTGGAGTTATACTTCCATTAAGCATGGTTCATAATTAATTTTAGGCATAGGTACAACTTAACTTTACCTAGGTAGAATTTGGCAAAAATTCTGTCTTAGGCTGAAGTGACTGGGATGACTTGCCCTTTTTGTAGTTTGTGACTTCCAGTTGGAAGGTTGCTGGATGATAAAGGTATATTGGGAAAACTTTTCAAAGACTCTCAGGAACATTGTAGCCCAAATTGTGAATTGAAATGTTACATCAACTTGTACCTGCAGAGTATCCATATAGAATCATACATAGGAAAAATCGTTCACTAGCAGTTATTTTAAAATAGAACATTGAAGAAGCCCTGACACATCTGCGTTATGTGTCGGGTTGCATGCATGTACTCATAGTTGAGCATAGACTGATGTGTCCACAGATGAGGTCCGCACTGGCACATACCGACAGCTGTTTCATCCTGAACAGCTGATCACAGGAAAGGAGGATGCAGCAAACAACTATGCCAGGGGGCACTATACAATTGGCAAAGAAATTGTGGACTTGGTTTTGGACCGAATCCGAAAATTGGCTGACCAGTGCACTGGTCTTCAGGGCTTCTTGATCTTCCATTCCTTTGGTGGAGGCACTGGCTCTGGTTTTACATCTCTATTGATGGAAAGGCTCTCTGTTGACTATGGGAAGAAGAGCAAACTTGAATTTGCAATTTATCCTGCCCCTCAGGTTTCCACTGCTGTTGTTGAGCCTTACAATTCTATCCTAACCACCCACACCACTCTGGAACATTCTGACTGTGCCTTCATGGTTGATAATGAAGCCATTTATGACATCTGCCGACGTAATTTGGACATAGAACGCCCCACCTACACCAACCTCAACAGACTGATTGGTCAGATTGTATCCTCAATAACAGCTTCTCTCCGGTTTGATGGTGCACTGAATGTGGACCTGACTGAATTCCAGACTAATTTGGTGCCCTACCCACGTATCCACTTCCCTCTGGTCACCTATGCACCTGTCATCTCCGCTGAGAAGGCATACCATGAGCAGCTATCTGTCGCAGAAATTACAAATGCCTGCTTTGAACCTGCCAACCAGATGGTGAAATGTGATCCAAGGCATGGGAAGTACATGGCCTGCTGCATGCTGTACCGAGGAGATGTCGTGCCAAAAGATGTTAATGCCGCAATTGCTACAATTAAGACCAAACGCACCATCCAGTTTGTAGACTGGTGTCCAACTGGCTTCAAGGTCGGCATTAACTACCAACCTCCAACAGTGGTCCCAGGAGGTGACCTGGCAAAAGTGCAGCGTGCTGTGTGCATGTTGTCGAATACTACAGCCATTGCCGAGGCATGGGCCCGCCTGGACCATAAGTTTGATCTCATGTATGCTAAGCGTGCCTTCGTTCACTGGTACGTTGGTGAGGGTATGGAGGAAGGTGAATTCTCAGAAGCTCGTGAGGATCTTGCTGCCTTGGAGAAGGATTATGAAGAAGTGGGTATGGATTCAGTTGAAGGAGAAGGAGAAGGTGCTGAGGAGTACTAAATGGCAATTTAGTTTTGTGCTCTGAAGTAGGGTGATTCTTAAATTTTTCATGAAGTTATGGTACTCATTAGAGTATATTTTTGAATTTGTAACCATTCTTTCATTTTTTCAACATTGAATTAATCTTTGAATTAAGAACAATTCTCAGTTACTGGATTTGTTCAGTATAATGTTCCTTGAATTAAATATAATCTTGAGTTATTCCAGCATGTGCTTAATACAGTGTTCTTGGAATTATAATATTTCAGAGTGATCATTCCTATGTTCAGCATTTGCTAAATATAATTTTTCTGGCAGATTGTGTATGGTTTATTTTACCTTCACCCATCCATTATATTTGAAGGCATGTGTAGGAAGTGCAGAAGTAGTTCCACAAATTTTGGAGCATTTAATAAGTTTTCTTCAAGGTCTTGTGCCATTGTTAAAAAAATCCCTGTGGTGAGGTGTTTGATATCGGACAATGGGAAATCATGTTTTTGACATTCTGTAGGGATAGGAAGCAAATAGAGGTTCTAGTTTAATTGACCTGATTTAAGACCCCAGTATATATGATAATCTTGGGAACATAGATGTCTACCTTAGTAATGGAGCTGAGCCCTTGTTGAGCCACCAATTCTGCAGCTACTCAGGAATTTCTCAGCATTTTATTGAACCCAAATGTTCATTACTGTGCTCAAAAGAGCCCTCTAGTGCTCCCTATCCTGAGCCAGATCGGTCCAATCCATGCCATCCTATCCTGTCTGATTCAATTTAATATTGTTTACCCACCTAGGCCTTTGTCTCCTTCCTTCTGGCTTTCCCACCAGTATCCTATATGCACTCCTCCTCCATCCCATTCGTGCTACATGCCATACCCACCTCATTCTTGATTTTATTATGCAGTTTTCTCCAACCTACTGTAATTTCATCTCACTTTGGTCCAAATATTCTCCTAACACCATGTTCTGAAACACCCTCAGTCTATGTCCATCCCTTAATGTCAGAGACTAAGTTTCACACCCATACAGAACCACAGGCTAAGTTATAGTTTTGTATATTCTGATTTTTATGATTTTGGGCAGCAGACAAGACAAAATTATCTGTGCTGAATGGGAGCAAGCATAACTTGAGTTCAATCTCCTCTTGAATTAGGTTTATGCAGGTACCCCATTTGTGAAAATTATACCAGGATATTTTGGAAAATTTGTCACCCGTGGGAAGGACATCAGTTCCAGTATTTGGGTTCTCTTTTGTTGAACAGGTAGGTATGAGTACTCATGGTATGTTGTGCGAGTTGTTTTAATTAAAAATCACCAAATTAACTTTTGGAACTTACTTCAGTGTAAGTAGACAGACCCACAATTTCGTTGTTTTTTTGGATGCCATATTACTCGGTGCTGGTGTGGCACTAATGTTCTAGGCTCATTTGGGAGATGCTCAATTACTGTAACGGGAAGCAGCTATCTTGACTGGTCATAATTTTCTTGCAGGCAAAATTTTGGGACTACCTGAATGCAGCAGCTTCAAAATCATGGTATGCACATGTTACAGAGGTATGGTCTCATACTGATCCCAAAGAACAAAATTTTTACTTTTGAGTTTGTCATGTGAAGTATTGCTGCATTACTGCATTAAGAGCTTTTGTTCAATTTATGGTAAGAATTGCTATTAATCCATTTTATTTCAATTTTTTTTATTGATAATGGGGTGGGGCTAAGTCCCTTGTACTGCGGCCATTTCTGGCCTATTGTACCAGCCCCAGATGATAGGTGAGGGTGATTGTGGAGCAATTGGTGAAATGAAGATTGGCAAGGAAACCGAAGTACTTGGAGAAAACCTGCACCAGCGCCATTTTGTCCACCACAAATCCCACTTAATCAGACCTGGGATTGAACGTGGGCCCCCATGGTGGGAAGCCAGCGACTAATCACTTGAGCTATGGCGCGGCCTTATTTCAATTTTGATTTGAAGCTTAACGTAACATTGCATGTAATGTGTACACATGTATAAAACAGTTTCTGAATTACTGAACAGTAAACTTATACACACAGCATACCCAGGAATTTTTTATGCTTTTAAGGATTTTGAGAGAGAACAATATTTAAATTAGGGTCAGTAACTAAATTTACATTGAATACATTATTGCATTTTAGTTTCAAAATATGGACCATGAAAAAAAATGGCAGTTACCAATGGCCAAGTATGAAGACCAGTTGTATGTTGCAAGGTCAGGGATTTTTTTTGTTAAATGGTTTATTAGTAATAAGACTCCTGATGTATTCAGTAAGACCGATCTCAAACATAGTGCAATGGTAGTGAAAGACTGGTTTCGGGAGGTGACATGAGTGGCTATGAAGTGTTGACCTGGCATCTAAAACCTGTGTGATGAATAAGATGTATTAAGGGCTGTAGATCAATGTCTGCAGCATGATGGAATGTAATGTTTGCTTACCGAGTCCATGCCTCAGTGTTCTCAATGTTATCAAAAGTTTTATTTGTAGTTCAAAGAAGTAATCTTACCTGACTTTCCTGTACCCTATACCTTTTTTTTTATTGCTTATGTAGTGGGACTAAGTCCCTTGCACTGTGGCCACTTCTGGCCTATTGTACTAGCCCCAGATGATAGGTGAGGGTGATTGTGGAGCAATTGGTTGAATGTAGATTGGCAGGGGAAACCGAAGTACTCAGAGAAAACCTGCCCCAGCGCCACTTTGTCCACCACAGATCCCACTTGACCAGGCCCGGGATTGAACCCATGCTGCCGCAGTGGGAAGCCAGTGACTAACCACTTGAGCTATGGTGTGGCCCACCCAATACCTTGTTTACTGTTCCAGTTTTTAATGCACTAAAGCTACAAAAGACTGTACATTTATGCAGCACTTGAAGCCTTCAAAATATATACATATTTAAATATATATATATTTGTTTTGTATCAAGATCATCTCAAATTATTTTAAATTTCATGCAGCTTCATCTGCACATCACATATCACCATTTGTTTGCAACCATGCTCATTTTTCCTTTGTGACAGAAAAGGGCTCATAGAAACAGTCTTCATCATTCTTTCTTATTATTAAAAAAATCAAGATGGTAATCTGTGACTTGTTAAGGGCAATGCGTGAGGCATTACAAGAGCTTACCAAGTTTGTACATACTTGTACAAGGAAACTGGTTTCGTTGTATTCTGTGTCTGATTCCATTTAAGACCAAAATATTCCTTTAAGAATGAAGTGGTAATAATCTTATGGGCAATATTCAACCCAGGACCTCGTAAATTAAGAAAGTGTGCAAACTATTGGAAATAATTTTTTTTATTAAAAAAATAGGCATATGATTGTCAGAAAACTTACAAACTATCCTGTTCCATAAAAATTAAGTGTTGTAGAAAAAGTGATAAATATAAGAAATGTTCTTGGTGAGATATCTTTGAAAAAGGAACTTCTTTATTTCAATAAAGACTTGCAGGGTATCTGAAAGACCATGACACACACTTCCAAATGGTTTTCAAATTATGCGTATTTACATAGGAAAAGGGTGGAAATACTGTATTTTTATTGGTTTTTGCTGTTTGTTTTGTTGGACTTCTGGTACTTCAAGTGCTCATATGCTGGCAGTATTGCAGTAATTTATCATTTTCCCCTGGCAAATGTCACGAGATTTGAATCACAGTAAATTATGTAGTTAGTGCTTAGCATTCAATTCATATACTTGCCTCCAGACCATTCACACTTCTGCTTGTCTTGCAAGGACAAAAGAGGCAAGTGTTCATAAGGCAGGATTTTATTTGCTGACAGTGACTGAGTGGTGAATTTGATGATTGTTGGCAGGGGAAACTTAGATTTACATGGACTCTGAACCATTGGTGGTTCCTGGAGTTCCCCATATTTAAAGAATCTTAACTTTATATGAGATGAAGGATAAATGGGAAGTGATTAAATCTTAAATCAGGACACTACATGTTAACAGGATTCCTCTGAAAACATAATATGAAGATGTTTTATAAACAACTATTGATACAAGAGCAGCACCTATGAAAGGAGATATAAGAACAAAAGAACTGTCATTAGATGATCCACCTGTTGTAAAAGTTAATGAATTATATATAATTCCACTAGTATTTATGATGGTAACCTGCAATTTGAAAACTGAATCTAATGCAGTCCTACAACATGACTCAAGTAGTGGATGACCCTGGTGGGTGCATCTGCAGTGTATACAACAGTTATAAGAAAGTACAGGTCACACATGCTGCATTTTGAGTGCACTTGACCCTGGTGGGTGCATCTGCAGTGTATACAACAGTTATAAGAAAGTACAGGTCACACATGCTGCATTTTGAGTGCACTTGATAGACATACAAACGATAACTGACAGAGAAACTATTGCTGGAGGCTTGCGTCTGCTTTGGCACAACTATTCACAGTGTCATCTCTTCCTTATACTCCCCACCATAGGTGTCAGCTGACCATGATGGATCTATATGTAGCATAAAAGAGGATTTCTTGTGTTAAAAAAACTACCACACTTATTTTACTATAATATGAACCAGAGTTACGGTGACAAATTTGAAGGGAATTAATTTTGTTACTTGTTTGGACAAAAGTATCATCTCCAGGGGTTAGTGGCTGCCTGATTTGGCCTTCACATACAAAATAAACCCTGGCAGATGCTTTATAAATTCCACTAACAGCTGTTATCTTGACACTCCCATGATACACTCCATTTTGTCCCATGCAAATTTTGTAACCAAGCAAACACCATCCAACATAATGGTAGCCAATAATGTATTTTTGCTCACAGAAAATATCTGTAAACATAAATGAATTTAAGCAATATGCTTCCAAACCATACACTAGCAACTGTTCCTGGAGAAAGAGGAAATGTTTTGGGGATACTAGTTGCAAAATTGCATATACTCAATTGAAGCATGAATTTACATGCTAAAACAGTAAAGCTATCCTTGTAGCAGGCTGTGGAGGCCCTTAGGTTTGTGAGACGTTGAGGCTCTCGCATTTTGTAGATGACTGACCCACTAGTGGTGGTGAGGTTATGTTAGAACTGTTGAATGTGTAACTTTAGCATGTGGCCATTTATACAAGTCCTCTGCAGAAATAAGGATACACAAAGTTTGCATTTATTGCCTGGGCTCTGATATGAGGATATCAGTACCACAGAAATTATGTCTATGTCATGGATGAATGGCATTAGTATCAGTGGAAAGCCCTGATTACGGGAAGTGAACAGAAAAGCAACCACCACAGTGAATGGAAACAGAGGTGAATCCATGGAATACTTCATGACAAATTACTGTATAACAGTAGATTTAATCGTGAACTCACAATATTGTATATTGTAATCTTTTTATTTTTAGATATAAGGTATGAAGACAAAGAATTTGAACTCAATTGAAATTTGATCTGGTTTTAATTTCTTTGTGAATGCAATTTTAATTTTTACTGTCTTCCCAGATATTTGAACTTTGCAACAGTTTTGAAGAATTTATTAGTATTTTTTTTATCATATTTGGCCTGCATTCCATAGGGAAGACTTTTCCTTACTGGTTAGATTTCATGAAAATTCATCTAACGATTCTCGAATTGAAACCTGTGGATAAGCAGACAGACACGGTCAGCATTCATTTCATGCATATCATGCAAAGATCTATGAGCATTTGGAACGTAACTGACATGTAATTCTCTAAACATTTATTACAGTGAAAGATGCTTAAAAAAATTGTATGGAAAAATTACACATTTTATGACCAATTACCCCCCCCCCCATGAGACAAAGTTTACCCCTCCCTTCTATAACTCCTGAACTTTTGGACTAATTAAAAATGGTTCATTGGAGATCATTGCACAAATTTTCTGAGATCATGTAGGTTCATCTGTTAGTAACAACACCAACACATAAATCACTGGGCAGATTTTCTTAAAAATTTGATATGGGAAACTTTCACTCAAATTTGTATTGACCCCTGATACAGTCCAGAAACTTAAGGCCATAATTGGACTCTTCATGCTATCGTAAACCGTTAATCAAATTTTATAAACAGTTCGCAAGAATAGTCACTGAACTGCAAAGATGCTATTGGGAATGTTGTCTACTACATTTTAGGGGTACAGCCTTTCCAGTCTTTTAAAATAAGGAAATTAGGCCGAGGAAAGTAAACAAATGGGTGAGATACATAATTTTGTCTATTAATATCCACGATTGTCACACAGTCATCCAAGTTACAGGCTATATCCCCCGTCTTAATGGAAGACAATCATATAGCCCACATTGTTATGTGGGCAGATGTATGTGCTGGACCCATCATCATAAGCATAGCTGTAGGCATTGGGACAGTTTCTCTTGAAGTAAGAAGCAGAGTTGATTATCCAATTGGAAGGATCACAGACATTAGGATTGTTGTACTCGCCAGCACAACAGTATTCGTCTGTTCCAAACTTATTACAGGAACTTCTGCAAGCCACTGTCTGCCCTGCTGAATTCTTCACTTGGAGCTCATTGGGGCAGTTAGAGAGCAGGTCCACAGTGCAGCCGGCAGTTTGGCAGGAATACTGGTTGTTCTGGTCCGGTACTCCACCTAGTGAGATGATCTGCAACCGAGATCCATGTAAAACCTATCAGTGACAGAAGAAGGTCCGTAGAATTGGAAGGATGAGTCCACTTTGAAAGAAGATTGTAAGGATAGCTGAGTCTTATGTTATTTCGGCCTTGCCAGTTTATTTGACACAACTTTGTAAACGTTAAGTGTTGCTATTATTGTCTAAAGCTAAGAATTTTATGGATTCTTTTGCTACAGTGTTTCAAGTGAAACTGTTCAATATTCACGTTATTTAGGCCTTAGAATTAGACACGTGATCTGTTCGTGCCATTTTCAAAGATTAAAAAGACTGGGGGGTTTTATTATTTATCAAAGCTGATTTATTGAGCTTATAATTATCCTGTAATGTCGAATGATATTGAAAATGGATCACAAATGGCAACAATTTGGAAGAAGCCGGCCATGACACATGTCGAGGTACTATCCCGGTATTCGCCTTGAAAAAAAAGAAAACTTCTAGTCAGAACATTCGACAAGCCCTTCGAGATGCCAGTCAGCGTTCTGAATATATGTTTAGAGCGTTATCACTACGTTTAAAAAGCAGATTTTGTCAATGTCGGTTATAAGGAATCAGGATTAAGCCAGGCTGTCTTTGGCATTAGCGATACTGGAATTTTAAATTCTACGGGGCGCTTTTAGCCTGCTTTCCATATTTTGAAAAAAATACAAGGAGACTTATGAGATCACCTTGTTGTCTGGTGTGTATGTCCCCCCCCCCTCCGAAAAAAGCCGAAATATTGGAGCCAGAAGAGACTGCCCTTGCTACTCAACGGCTCGGTAAACACTTTCCCCCGGCGACGAATACACACGCAACAATAGAAGAACTGTTGGATGCGGTGTTTTCTATGCGGTCAGTGTCGTGTCAAATAATATGTAGTGAGGGTAAAAGTGCGCAGGCGAGGACCAGCAGCAATTGTAAACGACAGACCCATCCTCTCGTCGGAGAGGATGTTACGTAAGGACTATTAGGAAGATAAAATTACTGGTCATAAGTCTCAAGGGGCTTGTCGCCAAGACGAACCGATTGGTGGTAAACCACCAGTCGTAAAGGAACTCTTACTCTGACTCTGACTCTGACTGCTGAAGCCAGTGTGGAGGCGGGGCCGAATACCTCCACCGTAGCTCTGCGAGCTGTGCCTGGGGATTTAACTGGGCCATCCTGTTCCTGGGGAATATTAATATGAGGACCTGGCTCTCCAGATTGGAAGAGTCTCGAATCTAAGAGAGAAAAATGTGGTCATGAGTCCCGCGGGACTCGGGCCTGAGAATGACTGCGCTGGCACGGTTCAGCAGCAATTATAAACGACATACCCATCCTCTTGTCAGAGAGAATGCGACACAAGGAGGACTATGACCGCAAGTGTTCAGTTAAAAACGTCACTGGTCATGAGTCTGAAGGGACTTTGCGACAAGACAAACTGATTGGCGGTATACTGTGAGTCGTAAAGTAACCCTGACTCTGTCTGACGGCTCTGGGAGTCTTCAGGCTGAAAGTAATCTGAAGGCTCCCAGAGTCGTCAGAGAGTATAATACGGTTATGAGTCCCGTAGGACTCGGAACCAAGAATAGCTGCTGGCAAGGGCCACCAGCAATATAGCAGTGAGTCAGTCAGTAGGCGATTAGTTAACCAGAACTTATTCCTTGCAGGGCCTCAGCACAACAGAGCGAAGACATCGTTACTGCATCGCACCGACGACATAGCCTGCTCTACGGCGCTCAGTCCCGCAGTAGGAAGAAACAGGTAACAGTTAATTTGTGACTTCGAATGTAACTGAAAATACAGAATGAGCTGCAAAATTCGGAGGATCACCTCTATAGGAACGTTAGCACCATCAACAAAGCTGACGTCATAGAAGTCCAAATCCCCAGTCGTGAACTCGGCGAGTGATACAGGTGGAACTCCACCTGCGCCATTGCACTTCAGCTTGTTGCCACAGTCCCCGACTTCACAAGGACCTACGCCGTTCGCATCGAAATTGCAGCCGGTACGTGCCCACACACGGCCCGACCAACTGTCACTGAAGGGCACGTTCACCTGCAACACGGAGCCAACTATTGGTTTGCCTGTGTTCTATATGAAGTAGCGACAAATCACACTAAATATTTATTATAACCAAACTTTTTTCCGATTTAGACAGGTTTTTCGTTTAATAGAATCTGCTTCTTAATGAAAATAATTTTACAGATTACACACCCAACGTATTAATTTATACGATAATTATAGGATACTGGTGGGAAAGCCAGAAGGAAAGAGACCACTGGGAATACCAAGGCGTAGGTGGGTGGACAATATGAAAATGGATCTTAGAGAGATGGGATGATATGGATTGGAGTGATCTGGCTGAGGATATGGACCAGTGGAATGCTCTTGTGAACACGGTAATGAACTTTCGGGTTCAATAGAATGCTGGGAAATTCTTGAGTAGCTGCAGATTTGGCTTCTCCTCAAGAAGGGCTCAGCTCCATAAGTAAGTAAGTAATATAAATCATAATACAAGTAGGAGGTTAAATTCTATATCGCCTGGTATTAGTCTTTTCCTGCTGTATTTGAATACCGCACTTGGCTTAAAGGAAGGACGAGCGTATGGCATAGTCACGTCCTTGTATCTTTCTCTGTAACAACTTTTGAATCAGCTGACGAATATTGATGAAATTTCGTGTGAAAGTCACGCTTTTAGTGGCCACGTTACGTTTGAATTTTGAGATCGGAGCCATACTACCGACGCAGTATGCGTCATAGCTGGTAAATCTGAAACAGCCCAAATCTGTACCGCTGTAAATTGTGCCGGTAAAAATATCATTAGCCGGTCGCAGTGGCCACGCGATCTAAGGCATGAACCGTCTTCGCCCGTTTGAACACTTCATCACGGGTTCGAATCCCGCTCGATGCATGCATGTCTATCAGCAGTTATTTTGTCTTTGTGTTCTTCTGTGTGTAGGTAGCGGCCTTGTTACGTGCTGATCCCTTGTCAAAGAAGTCCTAACGACCATATATAGATTAAGAAGCTGAAAAGGCTGCCAAGGTCCACAAGGACCGTAAATCCATACAGAGAGAAGGAAATGTATCATTAAATTGTTTTTAATTTATTTTTTATTTTTCTCATGGTGTGAGACTGAGTCCACTTCGTACGTCGGCCACTACTGGCCTCTTGTACCAGCCCCAGATGATAGATGATGATGATGATGATGATGATTTTGGAGCAATTGGTGGAATGCGAATTGACAGGGGAAACCGAAATACTCGGAGAAAATCTTCCTCACTTTGTCCACCACAAATCCACAAATGACTTGACCTGGCTAGAACCCGGGCCGCAGCGTCGGGAAGCCGGCGACTAACCGCCTGAGCTATAGCACGGCCCATCATTAAATTTACTTATACTGAATAATTTAAAAGGACCCCGGATAGTTCAGTCTGTATAGCGAGTAGACCATGAGCTGAACACCAAAGGAATTGGGGTTTGATTCTTGGCAATGGCAAGAGATATTTAACTTCTGCATAGCGTCCAGCCCGGATCCGGGGCCCGTGCAGCTTCCTATTCAATGAATGCCGGGAGATGTTCCTCCCAGAGTTAAGCGCCAAGTGCTTAAAGCTGACCATTCACCTACACCCAGTGCTGAGGATAAGAATGAGGAAGCTATACTTTCATTTTCATTCATTCATCAATGGCACTACAGCCCTTTGTTGGGCCCTGGCCTCATTTCAGTTTCGTAATCTTTTTTATATAGACGATAGGACTCCTTGGACGAGTCATCGGCCCGTCTCAAGGCCGCAACGTACACAAACACAGAATAAACGCACACACAGTGCGACTCGAACCCACGATCCCAGCGTCCGAACGAACGAAGACGTTTCATGACTTAGACCGCGTGGCCATTGTGATCGGCAGCTATACTTCCTCTTCCCCTAAGTCTTCATGGTGTAGCGCCTAATTAATTAAGCACAGGGATAATTTTACCTCACAGTGAATAATTTGAAAGGAAGCAGTTGTTGTTGAATTGTTCCCAGAACATTTTTGTAGCGTGATTCGAAGCCATGGTCTAGATGTTTTTCTTCTTACCTGCTGACCAGGCGCCAGTGCGAAGCCTCCATCTTCTAGCAGTCTGTTTCCCAGAATTCCGACCCAAATGGTCTGCGAGCCCCGGTTTAGGAACTGGAACTCTTTGGGGTGAGCCAACCCAGCCAGAGCGAGAGCTATGGTGCAGAAGGCGAGCATTGTGCTTTCGGATTGAAGCCGAAAATGATTTCTGCTAGTTCGGGCTCCTTTTTATACTGCAGGTACTTGTTTTGTCGCTGCCACATGCGCAAATATTTTGACTGCATAATCAGAAGTAATTACGCATAAGTAAGTTCGTAGTTGAAAACAAGGTGGCTCAGTTGCAGTATCGGAAACCGAATCCAAGGTTGCACAGTGCAAGAGAAGGATACGCGAAACAGGAATATAATGAGACCTATATCTTGTTCCATCCTCTAGATTATGCACATATTTGATGGATCGTTTTTGAGAACATGTACATACTTTATTTTAGTTTCGTTTAAAAAGCCGCTTATGAACCGAAATTAAATTTGTCCGACAACTTCTAACGTAGATACCAATAAAACAAAACAAACTCCGAGGCTTTAGTACTCAAGCGAACTATACCAACCGAGCGACCGCCGCTTGTCGGCGAAGTTAGTGCCAACTTTAGCGGATAGAGGGTGTCGCGTGATCAGAGCAACGAATCCCCACGGCCGTTAATTTCGGTTTTGTAGACCGGAGCCCCTACTTTTTCTTTCAAGTAGCTCCTCGATTATCCTCACGAGGCTGCGTGGACCCCGTTCCAGTGCCAATACTAGATTTAATCAAAATGCATTTATTATTGTCGAGGATGATATATGCAGAGGTATAGGCATATTTTCCTTAGATGCGCTCGTTTCTATTAAACTGTTTCAAAGATCGCGCAAACCAGTGGTCTCCTAACTTTTCTGGTCACCGCTGCCTCAGCTTCATAAACTCGTCCCCAATGTCACATGCCCTACCCTGTAAAAAGACTTTTTTTTTCAGAATAGCGGGTGGCACAACCCACTAAGGAAGATAATGACAATAAAATAAGATACCACATTTTGTAACTACTCCACTGTTAGTAAATTCTTAATGCGATGGATGGACTTGATGAAGTGGTATCAGTTTTCCAATGTCTGGTCTGAAGTCACTTCAATCGCAAATAAGCGAAGAACGCTCTTGTCGTGAAACAAGAACTCGAGGTCTCAGGGGGGCACACCTCCAGCCTCCCCTTATCTCTTAGCGCCCTCCGGGGGGCGGTACAGTCCACTTTTGGAACCACTGGCCTGGACTGATCACGTACATTTGAGATGAGTTCTTGAAATACGGTGAAATTATTGCTAGGTGTTTCATTCAACAAGGCCATGTCTGAATTGTAATGGCAGTGGTGCATAACGTTCGGGGCTTTTGAGTTTTTGATCTCTTATTAACGAAAGGGAGCACGCGGTAGCATAATTGGTTGATGCACTATGCTACAAGCCGGAAGGTCGCGGGTTCAAGTCCCAATGATGTCATTGGATTTTTTCAGTTGACCTAATCCTTCCAGCCGTACTATGGCCCTGGGGTCGACTCAGCCTCTAACAGAAATGAGTACCAGGAATTAATTAAATTACTCTCCTGGCGAGTAAAGCGCGGCCGGCGCGTAAGGCTGACAACCTTACCGCCATCTTTGAGCCGATTGTCTAGATAATGTGGCACCCTCAACGTCTCACAACCCTATGGGCCTTCACGGCCTGCTACAGGGATAGCTTCACTTTACTTTTACTTTACCGCTAAAGACATGCTCGAATGTGGAAGTGCGTTCAATACGTAAAATCCATCGAAAGCTCGTGTCTCTCTGTGGGCAAAATATGATATCAATGAAACAGGTTTGTTTACGTTGTATTACATTCCTGACACAGGTGTGTTGTTGCATGACGGTCCCACGTGAGTAACTACAGTGACTTCGATGGGAGGTGCTGCAATATCCATTTTACAGCTCACTCAAACGTCCATGTATTAAGTCCGTCAATAATGCAAACTATCATTACAACATTCACCATTCTACACCAACACGACATGTTTCGGCCACAGACGGCCATCCTCAGGTGTCTCAATGCGTCCAAACTGTTACACTGTTTTGATGCGCGCTAATATTGTGCGTTGCAGTCCTCTTAAAATAACACAATTAATTGCTTAAAATTCATTAAAATTTTTCTATTAGAATCTTTCGCAGAATTCTATTCCACCTCGTAAGGGGCGTCGTCCACTTGTTTAAAGCCATGTGATATTCCAAACAGTTTTTTTTTTCGCATCTTGTTTTTCTGTTTCATTAGCCCATCTGCAATCTACAAAATGCCACATGTTATTATTGTTTTCTGGTTGTTATTATTTATGTTGTGTTATGTTGATTTGCTTTATACTTACATGCCCTTTGCTTGTGTGTGTTCGGAAAAACTGTTTGGAGTATCACATAGCTTTAAAGAATTGGACGACGCCCCTTACGAGGTGGAAAAGAATTCTACGAAGGATTGTAATAGAAAAAATTTAATGAATTTTAAGTAATTAATTGTGTTATTTGTGTTATTATTTATTTAATTTTAAACAGTGTAACAGTTTGGACGCATTGAGACACCTGAGGATGGCTGTCTGTGGCCGAAACATGTCGTGTTGGTGTAGAATGGTGAATGCTGTAATGATAATTGCATTATTGACGGACTTAATACATAGACAATTGATTAAGGATGTGCAACGGGATGCTGAAATACAGAATTACAGCTCACACTTGCCCCTCCTCACCCCGACTTCTACTTGTTTGAACTTAGCGCTTCGACATAGGTGCGAAATTTAAACGTGAAATGCTGCTTAGCCCGTCGGATTTGAGTACAGACTTTACTGCAGAGTGATGGATAAATGCTTCAATAGGCAAAGCGATTATGTTGAAAAATATTACAAATACATGTGCCTTCAGTGCTGTGTAATGTCGTGAAGGTACGGTTAAAATTCTTCTCACCAAGAACTTTACTCGTACTACTATAATTTATGGACATCCATTGTATCTTACAATATGTCCAGTTCCATTTTCGCAGAAATCCTAATATGGATGATACATCCTATATCAATGATTATATTAGACAAACATTTGGTGTGTGACGTAGTATTGACGTGAATGTGGTATTCATGTTATTTCTGTTAGGAGACATCGACTGAAGAACAGCGTTGGATGAGAGTAACACCGGTATATAATGGCGACTTAAAACTGACGTGAGTGGACTTTCGTAGCCTTGTAGATTGCAAACGCGCTTTCTAAATACTGTCTTTGCAAATTAGGGGGCTAAATTCACCTTCAAGAATATTTTATTCTGGGATATATGCTGTCTCCATATTGAGGGATGAAGGGTGAGCCAAGCAAGAAACCAGCAGGAAGCAAGCAAAGCTTTCTTGAAGAAAGCAGTCTTCTGGGATGTAGCACCGTATAGATGTGGTCTTAACCGACGTTTCGGAGGAGACCGTCTTGTACCGGTTCTCACGGTCTCTTCGCTTGCGGATTTCTTATTTTTCCTTATACCCTGAAGATGGAGGCAATACGTTCCTCCGAAACGTCCGTTAACACCACATCTACACGGTGCCACATCCCAGAAGACTGCTTTCTTCGTAGTCACCGCCGTGAAAACCTCAAATTTTACAAAGCTTTCTTGGTTTGCTTTTAATTCCTGAAGACGAAAGCAACGTGGTCCTCCGAAATATTGTTTACTTTCAACGGACTGCAAGATGTTATATCTTAGAATATAAAAGTCTTCATAACCACTACTGTGAAACTGGAAATCGTACATAAATTGACCTTGACGTTTATTTATTACACATACAGTTCTGTTTTAAAGTTAATCACCGACAGTTATCGCATAGCTAGAAATGATTTTTCGCATGTTTTAATTAGATATTTGCACATACCGAAAAATTATCACAATACATCTCACAGGTCTTAATGACGCCTATACATAGTTACTTACTTACTCATGGAGCTGAGCCCTTCTGGAGGAGCCGCCAATTCAGCAGCTACTCAAGAATTTCCCAGCATTTTATGGAACCCGAAGGTTCATCACCATATTCACAAGAGCCCCCCCCCCATTGGTCCCTATCCTGAGTCAGATATATCCAATCCTTACCATCCCATCCTATCTCCCTCAGATCCATTCTAATATTGTCCACCCACCTACGCCTTGGTCTTCCCTGTGGTCTCTTTCCTTCTGGCTTTCCCATCAATATCCTATACACATTCTTCGTCTCCCTCATTTGTGCTACATGACCAGCCCACCTCATCCTCCCTGACTTGATCATTCTAATTGTATTTGGAGAAGGGTACAATTTATGAAGCTCCTCATTATGCAGTTTCTCCAACCTCCTGTCACTTCATCTCTCTTCGGTCCGAATATTCTTCTCAACACCCTGTTCTCAAACACCCTTCAGTCAATGACGCCTATATCTTATATTATATATTTGTATTACTTGCTTGTAAGATATACATGTGATAGCCTACTGGACTACACGATAACATTACCCAAAAGACCACCAGGTGGATCTTCATCGCTCTGAAAACCATTGACCTCTTCATCTTCTACCGCGACGGATTAGTCTCTCTGACCTGTTACCGTTCAGAGTTAATTAATTACAAAATTATGAATCTTACACGGGGTCTGTAGGACTCCTTGGACGGGAACTTCAGACTTCATACAGGCAAAATAACACACTCCCAAAATTGGCCATCTTCAGGCTTATCCTGGTCTGTCCTAGCAAATGCCGGAATTGGAGACCTATCCGAAAATCTTATCACTGGCTTTTCCTAGTCCGTGTTACGTAACCTCATACTTGTCACAAGCAACTCAGGTTACGTTAGGAATGTAGTTTGACGCTGCTGCCTACTTTTCACGGAAGTCGACAGTTTAGGTTAAGTGAGAACATTTAACGGATTCCCGCTTAACTATAGATTTTCATGGAACACAGTGCTTCATAAAGAGAGAAACTAGCGAGGGATTCATGGGACCATTTTGCCCTTGCTCTGCTATAAGTTACAGATATTTCGCACGAGATGAAAACAAACCTCGCCCTTGTTCCCATAGTGAAAGAACCAGCAAGAGCAGGTTGTTAGAAACCTCGGCTCCATGAATAGGCCTGCATGCTGGTGCATTGTGTTCTCATTTACACGTCCCACAGAGATTTCCTTGCCTCTCATT